GGGTGGAGAAGCAGCTAGGAGATTCTCTCATTTTCCAGCTTTTGGAAAGACATGCTGCAAGGTGTTTTAACTTGGTGTTGGAAATGGAGTAAGAGAAAGCTGCAATTCCAGGGGGCCTAGGTTCAAAGGCATAAGGGACCCAAAATGCACAGTAAGTACTATGAGGTAACATGGGGGAATGAAGATTTCGAGGTCAATCAGTGCTGAAGGGATGAGAGCTGAGCTCACTGTGAGGCGCACTGGGGACCACGTCCAAGTGAGCATCCCAGCTCAGCAGACGGCGCTCATCACCTCTCTGGCATAGGCTTAAGATTGCAGGGCCACAGCACTTTGGCTCACATACGGCATAGTGCGAAAGGAGGCAGAGGGCAGCTGCTGTGCCCTGTGCACTTACTGAGCTTCGTGATGGGATAGGCTCAACTTCCTGTCACCCACTCTTAGAAACACTCACTCCTGAGCCGTGCCAAGGGTTGGCTCAGTGCTCAGTTCTCAAGCTACCAATATGCTAGTACCCCTGGGGCAGAGGGGTTCCTTTGGATGGCAGGGTTGAGTCCTGAGGTGGTTTTTTTTTTTTTAAGCAGGGTCCCACTATGCAGTTCAGGCTGGCCTTGAACTCATTTTGTAGTCCACGCTGGCCTTGAACTTGCAGTGCTCCTCCTGCCTCAGCCTCCTGAGTGGTGGACTACACTATACAGGCGTGCACCACTATGCCTGACTGAGAACGCGCAGTTCTGCTAGGTTTCTATGTGATATCAAAACTGCTGGTCAAGAGGTCACTGTTTAAGAACCTCAAGCACAGAGCAAAGGCGCAGCTCATCTGTTAAGGTGTATTTTCATTGGGAGAGTCCTGCCTGGAGACCCCTGGGGTCTCCTGGAACAAGGAGAGAAAGTGATAGGGGAGCCAAATGGTCCTTCAAAACCTGTGGTTCGGGGCTGGTGAGATGGCTCAGTGGTCTAAAGCACTTACTTAGAACAAGCTTAGCAAAGCACATGGACCGCGGTTCAATCCTCCAGCACCACATGCCAGCCAGCCCGCCCCCTGGTGGGCTGAGCTGCCCCCCCCCACACATAAAATAAATAAATTAAAACAAACAAACAAACAAACAAACAACAATCTGTGGCTCAAATCTTCCTGGCTGGCGCCACAAGCAAGTCAACCTCCCTCTACTCTTCTGTCAGGACCAAATGGTTCTATGCCTTGGGTCTTGAGCATACAGCTTTTTTTCATCAACTGAAAGAAGCAAGCTTGGAGATTAAATTCCATGCTCGCTTACCCCAAGAGATGGAGCAGGGAAGAACGCAGAGGCAGCACCCCAGAAAGGTGGGCCTGGACAGTGTCACAGATACCATCTCACCACAAGGCTGTGAATGGCTGTTAGCACCTGTGGACCACACTTATGCAACAGGGAGACACCGAGGCAGGGCTCCCCTCTCCCACAAGCATCTGGTACAAAAGAGAATCTGACTGTCTTGGGTTCTAATGCTGGGGGTGGGGTGGAAATAACTGAGAATGACATCATAGGGCAACAACTAGGCTAGGCGTTCTCAGTCTCCTGCTGCTGCTGCTGCTGCTCACTGACCAGGGAGGACTGGGCTAAAGGCCTGCGCACCTGAACAGTGGCAGGAAGTGCAGCGAGCTCTTCCGTTTGGAATGGCTCCCCAGCTGGCTGCCTTTGATCTCAGGCCTGCACAATCTGTTCTCAAAGATCCACAGGCAGTGTCGGAGCTGGGCTAGGAGGAGTTCATCTGGGTTCACCTTGGCTGCAGGTGTGGCTGCATGGGCCATTAGGCTGGGGGCCACATCTGTAGTTAGTCTCCTAGAGGCAGAGGAGCATAGGGCAAGGAGGAGAGGCTTAACGCCCCGGTAACTCTGGTGCCACCTCACTGAACACCTGCAGCAGGCAAGTTCAAGATGTATGCTCTAGGCAAAAGAAATTTAGAAACTGCACTCTAAACAGAATTGACCAAATAAACCACACCACGCCTGCATATGATCAAGAAAAGAATTCTGCTTCTTTCATCTCTCAGCCTCTCACATTCTTAAAGCCCTTGGTCAGCATCACTGGCCACTTACACTTTATAGGTAATTATAAAGCTGGAAAAACCCCAGAGCTCAGGGGTATAGGGGACTAAGAATGGCAAAGCTGTGAGACCTGTTTCACTGGGCTCCTGGGAGGCCTCAGGCAAGCTGCGTCAACTCTGAGACCTCAGTTTCCTCAACCGCAATACAAGGGTACCAGATGAAATCGTATCTCAAGTCTTTTCCAAGCCATCCCCAGCCAGGGAAAGTGGTCATCTTTAATTCAAAAAGGGAGAGCAAGTGGAAGGGGAGGGCCAGGAAAGGTTGCATGGGGAAGAAACGGGAGGATTTCCAGCATCAGGAAAGGGGACAAAGGAGGAGAAAGACAATGCAGGGAACTGCATAAACGAGTGCAGGGTGAATAATATAACTGGAGCTCACAAAGAGATGGGTCTGCTCACAAGAAATGGGCAGAAGAGTGGGCTGATGTCACAGTGTGAAAGGATCTGAAAGCCAGGCTCTGACTCTTGTATGTAAATCCAAAGGCTATGGGGAAACACTGAAGCATTACAGAAATTGATTATGGCTGAATTTTAGAACATGAGCATCTTGTTTTATCTTTAACAAGATATAGTTGTGTGACAGCAGATTATTTTTTATGTGACAGTGGATTTTAAACTAGAAAAACAAAACCGTGTTAAGTCTAATGCACTTATTTTTGCTTTGAGCAGTGCTGCACAATCACCTTCCTACAGGGACAGAAATGCTCTGTGTACTTATCCATTGTCACTGCCACTGGCCACATGTGGTTCCTGGGCACGCTTGTGGCCAGTTTGACCGAAGAACCGAATTTTTGATTTCATTTAATTTAAAAATAAATACATGCAGCTTGTGGCTACCATACTGGGCAATGCAGTGTTTGCATACTCACTGGACTTTAAAAAAAAGCTTTGCTTTTGTAAACCAATGAAGCAGATCTGATAGAACATCCTCCTCAATTTATTGAGGAGAATGAATATGGGAGTTTTTGTTTTGTTTTGTTCATTTTTTTGAGACAGGGTTTTACTATGCAGCTCAGGCTGGCCTGGAACTCACTTTGTAGCCCACACTGGCCTTGAACTCACAATGATCCTCCTGCCTCAGTCTCTTGAGTTCTGCAATCACAGGCATGTGCCACCACACTCGGCTTGAATATGGCATGTTAATTTTTGAAAATAAATAAATGATAATACTTCTGAATCTTTGTAATAGTTAAGCTGGACAATTAAGTTGATCTCAAATAGTTTTACACTAAATCAAAATATATTTGTGTTTGTGTATATGTGTTATCCAACATTTATTACATCTCCTTTTTTACCAACTCAGGGAATCATACATTGTCATAAGCACTCTTTCGCTGACATACATCCTAGGCTTTAATATGAATCTCTCTCTCTCTCTCTCTCTCTCTCTCTCTCTCTCTCTCTCGCTCTCGCTCTCTCACTCATGGTGCTCAGCAATGAACCCAGAGTTTCACACATGGTAGTTCTCTGAATCATGCTCCAGCCCCCTTCAATTTTGGCATTTAGTAATGTCTCTATATTGAGAAATTAAAGCAACATTCAATTTATCAAATGAGTCTATAATTAGGGACAGAAGGACGTGTACTGAAAGATCATTCTTTTAAATACCTTAATTTTGTCTAATAATATTCTTTTTTTTTCCTTTTTCTGTATTTAGGATAGAGTCTACAGGGTCTTCGCTACATAGATTGGATATGTAGTGATCGTCCTGTTTTCATCCTCCCAAGTGCTGGGATTACAGGTGTGCGCGCCACCTCACCCAGTCTAAATAGCTATCTCAGTGTGCCCCGGGGGCAGGGCCAGCACAGTATGCCAGGGATCGAACCCTGGCCACTGCGCTGAGCTATTAGGCCGGCCCTTCAATAGTATTCTTTAAGCTTCCCCAAGTATAAAATTTCTAAATATTATTTGCTTCTTTAAATCTATAGACCAGCCTATCCTATTTTGTTTTAATTATATAAAAAAAAATTGCACTCAATGCTGGAGAACTTTTTCCTCAACATCTCCTAACGGCTTTTCAAATCCAAACCTGTGGTCAGGCAGGCATCGCTGACTCCCCCGGAATACGCATTTTCCCCTCTCCCCTCTCCTTCACCCATCTCCAAACTTTCCTCCAGGAAACACTGCAAGGTCATTCTGCTCCCTTCATGGGGCTTCCAAAATAGTCTGTTCATCCTGTCAGCACTGTCCTCACGGCTTTCATAACTATCTGCTACCGTGTTTGGCAGAACAGTCTTGCAGCCTGTGTACCTTAACTCTGGGCATGGCACTGTGCAGGCAGAAAGGAGTGTGTGGAAAGGGTGAAGCACCTGCAGAGCGCAGTTGCTATTTCTCTTTCCCAAAAGCACTAGCAAGAGTTAATTTAAAAAGAAAAAAAAAAAAATTGAGGTTATAGAGTAAGAACGTGAGATTTTCGCTAAGTCAGTGAAGAGAACAGATGGAAGGTGTAGGTGTAGCTCCTAGGAGTACATCCATGGCTATCCTGTCCTAAACCATTATGAAATATAAGTTCAAAAAATGCCTTTCTATTTAACAGCTGGGACAGGACAGAGCTAAAAAGCACCAATATGAGGTACACCAATACGTGACACACGATTCCTGAGAAAACATCAGGTGAACCAAAGCAGAGCTGCTCAGGGGGACGCACCAGAGGTCTCCCCCTTCTGCCAGCCACTTACCACTCCCCCAAGGCTTCCAGGCAACGCATGCGGCCCAGCATCAGCTCTGGGTCATCCTTGTTGGTGTCCATCTTCTTGTCGTAGGCCACAAGCGCATCCTCCCACTCATGCAGCTTCTCATACCATGTGGCCTGGATCTCCTGCCGAGTAGAAGAGAAAGAGGACTGCTGGAGCGCAGAGAACAAAGGTCAGACTAAATCCACACCCTTGCCTACGGTGCTACGCTCTTCACCTGTCACAGTACATCTGGGGTTGGGGCTGAATTAAAAAGAACTGCAAGCTGGATGGTAGATTGTTTGCCTGGCATGCACAAAAGGCCCTGGCTTCCATCCCTAGTAGTGCAAACAAACCAAAGCAAACCAAAATCCCCCAAAACAAAGAATTTCAGACCACCTGGAGGTAAGCTGGTTGGGGGAGGCAGAAATGCCGGCTCCTTGGTGGGCTCATGGAACCACCCTGTATACTGGGATACTCTGAGGGGACCTGTTGGCCACGCTCTACCCCTATCACCCTCTACCCAGCTATAAGGACTGCCAGAACCTCAGCACAGCGGGGACACAAAGACAGGGAAATCACTTAAGGGACAACGGGACTGAGAGAGCTCCTCCACAAGCACAAGGCCCCTGCCGCTCAGCTACGTGGCACGGATGGCTTTCCTGGTAGGGCAGAAAGACCAGACCACATATGCATATTTGCTGGAGGCAAACAGCTCTTCTAAAAGCTTCTGCTTCCTTAATGCATTTTTTAAGGAAATAATAATTTAAAATATGATAGAATGCTACCACTTAAAATTCTCTGGCAAACCTTCCCTTCCTAGTCCCCTGTCCAATGTTCCCTCCTGTGTAGTGCTTGGCAGCTTTACCCCTACGGGGGCCAGAGGAGGGATTCCATCGCCCTGGCAGACACAGTGCCACGCTGATGGTGAGTGCTGTCCATGTGAGGAAGAGGTGCCAGTCTGGGAGTCAGAGCAGAGCACTCCACACGACTAGGAAACTAGTTTATGTGCTGTCTGGGCTTCTTCATCAGCTCAGTAAGTGACTATTTCTCTCCCAGCCAGGCAAGCGGCTCTCCAAGGGTTTTTTAACAGAATAATTCCAAGGTGGGATTTATATGACATTACGCAGGGTCCATGTCAGTTTCTGCCATACTCTCCTACAATTCCTGAATCAAACAGATGTTTGTGTGGTATATTTGCTAATGACAGCTCTGCTAGGCCTGGATGAACCTGCCCATCCAGGCCTTGGTGAGGAGGTCATGTACCCTGCAGACAGTCGGCCTATCCCTCCTTCTAGTTAGTTTAGGCAGTGCAAGTACTCTTTGGTGCCCCTGAACTAACTGTGGCCATAGCAGCCTTCCTCCACTATGACAGGGATTAGGCAAAATAGGCCTACCTGGCTCTATGCAAGGTAACGAATCGAGCCTTCATTTTCTTAGCCTGCCTAAAATAATGTCTATTATGCTGAAATATGAAAGAGAAAACAAAGAGTGCAAAATGGAAGACTCTTCGGTGAAAAGTGCTGGTGAACTTCCTGTGAGCCTTCCACACGGGCAGAGACTGACGGGCACACACAGGCAGTGAACCAGCAGAAAGTAGAGGGAGCAGCATACGGAGCAGGTCAAGGAGCGGGCAGGATATTCTGAATTGCAATGGGTTGCAGAAACTATAAGGTTTAAGCAATGAATCACACAAAATTCTAATGAGATTGCTGTTATATAAATTGTGCTGACAAAGCACAGGCTCGGCCAAGAAAAATCAAACCATTGTCAGGCTTAATATGATTCAGCTACCTAAATATAACAGAAAATCCACCGTGGGTTAGCAATAATCCCGGAGCTAATGGCCGCCTTTAGAAGCTGAAGATGGAGGAACTTTCATTTGGGCCTGGCTTTCTAAGTGCTGGGGTATAAACCATCTGCTGGCAGATCACCCGACACCAGATGTGTGTGGAGTCCATCAGCACGGCCGGGGCCTGAGCAACAAGGACACAGAAGCGGAGCACAGCATGGTCTGCGTGGATTCCTCTAATGCCCTTGCAGCCTACTTCCTGTCCTCTGCAAGCAAGGACTGGGGCAAAGATGGGTAAGACACAGTGCGATTCTTCTACCACCCGGAGAGCGGCTGTCATGGCCTAGTGACAGGTAGCAGAGGTAAAAATGGCACAAGGTTGTCTTGAAGTTTCAGTCCAATTTACTAGTCCTTGTATGAGGCAAAATGCTAGACAATCATATAAAAGCCTGTGCAGTATTCATAATTATTAATTCTAGTTCTTGGGCTCTTTTTTTTTTTTTTTCCCAGATCATCAAAATTTTATTTAAAATGATAAAGCACTGAAAAATAAACAATATCATATGCTTGCACTGTTATTGTGTAGCTTGAAAAACTGCTTTTGGTAACATTGAAAATCATTAGGTTTTATCCCAAAGTACGCGGGGCAGCCCTTTGGGTCCGCCTGGTAAGTAAGCGCTGCTGTCCAGCGCAGGCTGGGGCAGGAGGCAGGCTGCTGGCTTCCGGGCGAGCCCGGCCCTACTCAGAATGGCGGTGCCTCCTCTTGTTGTGGCTCTCGATGGCTCTCCTCAGTGCTTCATCCTGGATGAGGTCGGACATTCGCATATCTGTGTGGCTGCAGCCAATCTTAGGGCAACAGGCCTTTTTCTTCCGCTTGAGCTTGGACTCAATCATGCGAACAATGGCTTCCTCTTCATAGGTGTAGCCACACACTTTATTTTTCACTGGCTTCTTCATTTCCAACTGTGTAACGGGGCAGATGAAGTTGGCCTGACTCTGAATCACAATCATATCCTCATCAACTCCTTCAGTGCCCTCAGCCCCTCGCTCCACCTGCACACCATATTGTTTCTGTAGTTCTTTCAGCTGTTGTTTAAATTGTACAAATTTTTCATTATTTTGAAAGTCTGCATCAGAATTTTTACTCTGTAAAGCCAAAAATTTCTCCTCCACTAATAATTTCAAATCAGGTATTGTTTCTGGCCGTTCTTCTTTTACATGATTTATTGCAGACTGAACAGCCATAACATAATGGTTTAGCTTCCGATTCATTATGACAAATTCAACCACCGCCTTGTCCATACTATATTCACTACTCACTTCAGTCTGAGTCTCCACAAGATCAAAAGCCACACTAGAAACTGTGTCCATGATACAGGACTGGAAGTTTTTTAAGGAGGAGAGAGCGGACTCTACACCACTGAAGGATATGAAACCAGTTGAACCTGAATTTGAACTGGAACGTCCCGGCATCTTGAAAATATTACCTGTCTGCGCAACCCGTCTCCCTCTTGGGCTCTTAATTAAGGTAAGTCAGCACGAGTGACCAGCTCTTCATCCATATGTGGACATCATATATACAGAAACAGTTTTTTTTTTTTTTGTGGAACCGGGGATTGAACTCAGGCCCTTGCACTTTCCAGGGAAGCGCTTATTCCACTGAGCCATCTCCCTGGCCTCTCATCCCAAAGAGTAATGGGAATGTTTTCCTACCAAAAGGGCAAGCATGGCACCAGAAAACAGCTATGTAAACAATAATGAAACAGCAAGCCCTTCATTAGCAGGTAGAAACTAGAGTAGGCACGTGTTCTGGAGAGTTGGCCACGGTTTCCTCACAGTGCATTCTCAGTGCTAGCTATGAGCCAGATCTCATAGGATCTGACCCAGGAGACATTAGGATAACTCAGGTTAAATACTGGGCCTTGACATCAGACTGTCTGGGGCCAAGTCTTGGCCATTTATGCTAGACAATGGTGGCCATTTATCTGCTCGGTTTTGAACCTGTTGGGCCCATAGTCACCTCCTCTGTGAAAGGGGTGAGCAGTAGTATGGCAGTTACTTCCTCATTCGCCTTGAGGGCTCCGTCAGAGGACGCACACAGGCACTCAGTGAGAGCCAGGCACAAGCTTAGAGCTCGATACATCACAGCGGTTACAGTTATTAGGGTCCGCCCTCCTGCGCGCGTGCTCAGGGTGCATGTAGTCCCTACAGTCCCCGTCTCCTCTCATCCTTAAGATACAGGCAAGTCAGTGTTAGTTTGTTATAAATTGGGGAAAAGATAAGGAAGTAACTGACTTTCCAAAGTCTGAGTGTCTGTTTGGCCAGTCTCTGTTCTAAGAGGAAAATGAGGCACTTACCAGCTCTCCAAAGTGTTTCATGGCATATTCTAACACGCCGGCGGCAGCCTCGGGCTGCTGAAGCTTATTATTAATGCTGAGGAAACAAAAGGAAGATGTGGTTGTACTCAAGGGGCCTGAGGGAGGGCTGCGTGGCAGTCATTTGTGGTCAGGACGCAGCAGCACACTGGGACAAGACAGCAGCACAGGGACAGCATCAATCAGCTATCTGCACACACAGCGCCAAGTGTGAATAATTTCATTTGACAAAAGTTTGGCTCCCCTCCCCCGTTTTGGGGACAGTAAAGTGAATGTAATATCTGGTGCTCTGACGTCCTTCTTCCACCAAGCACAGACCTGTTTCTTCTCAGATGCTGCCAGACAGGCAAACAGTCTGAATCTTCCTTTTTCCTGGGCACATGCTGGGCAGATGCTCTGCCATGGTGCCACACCTCTACCTTTGTCAGAGAGGTAACAGGAGGCCCCAAAAGTGGGAGAGCTGCGGGGCTTAGACCCTTTCCTTGTTCTGAAAGAAACCTGTGCAATTAAAGCCCACCCTGAATACAGCCTGAGGTTTGGAAGAGGGGAGAGCATGAGGGAGCAGGCTTGGGAGTCACATGACAACCATGACTGGAACCGATCACAGCGAGAGGCACAGCAGAAGTGTGGCCCACCCACTTGGGAATCTGGGCTGATTTAACGAGCAGGGATCCAGTTTATTGCCCTGAGTACAACAGTCTGCTTCAGGTGAATTAATGGTTAAGAGTTGTAGGAAATTCCAGGATTTGGTTTCAATGCTGTAATATGGCAAGATTGCTGTTACAAATATTATTTTTAGAAATCCAATTCTACCACATTTTTTTTTTCTAATAAAACGGAGGAGGAACTGCCCAGAAATCTGATGAACCAGGGGCATTAACATCTGTGAAAGTAATAATCTAATGCCTCATGTCTCCAAGTGTATTTCAGTCTTTCCAAGCTGTCACTCCCTTTGGCCTCATGCATCCCTGAGTGTGAGTGAGGAGGGAAAGGTAAACAGACCCTCCTCAAATGGGGAAACTGAAGCCTGGGGAGGCCAGTGGCTTTTCCCAAGGGCACAGCGCCTGGGGATGGTCCCCACAGAATCTGGTGTATGTTAAGAAGTGGAGGTGGTGTGGCTTTGGGTTTGGAGACACAGACCTGAATTTGCATATCTGGAGGTCCAATTTTGCCATTTATAAGCCAGTCATCTTTTTTGAATTTTAAATTCCTCATCTATAAAATGTGGCTAATACGACCTCCTTTTTGGTACCAAAAGGAACAGTAGATATGTACTTGGTTATCAGGTCCTTAAAAATGCTAAGCAGGTCCTTCCTCTTTTTGTCCAAGGGGAAGGAAATACATATACCCACAGCGAGTATTAAGCCAGTCCCAGGAGTCAAATCTTCCTGAGGAGGCCACTGAAGCATTAGGCGCCAGGCTCTGCTGCCAGAAGTCAAAGTCTCTGTACAATGTCCCCTTCCCTTGCTTACATTGGGATACAGATGACCTCATGGGTGAAATGACTGAGTGGACCCACCAATGCTTCTTGTATTAGTCCTAAGAAAAGCAATAACCAGGAATGTTCTCCATCAGCTGCTATAGAACTTAAATATCAGAAATCTCAAAGAGAAACCGTGGCATTGCAGTTTCCTTGAATAAGATTTTTTTTTTTTGCGGACCTGGGGATTGAATTCAGACCCTTGCACTTGCCACGCAAGCACTTACTCTACTGAGCTATCTCCCCAGCCCCAAGTAAGATTTTTCTAAGCTGAGACTGAAAGGCAAATTTATTTATTTATTTATTTTTATTTATTTATTTATTTATTTATGTGTGTGTGTGTGTGTGTGTGTGTGTGTGTGTGGCCAGCTCAGCCCACCAGGGGGCGGGGCTGCCTGGCATGTGGTGCTGGGGGATTGAACCGCGGTCCCTGTGCTTTGCTAAGCTTGTTCTAAGTAGGTGCTTTAGACCACTGAACCATCTTGCCAGCCCTGAAAGGCAAATTTATAGTGCCAAACTCTACCATGTGTTCACTGTGAAGTTGGTTCTGAAGCCCCCTGACTACATTAATCCAGTATTGGACTATCTAGTCTGCTTACATGGGTTGGGGTGAATGTGTTGATAACACTACTAGGTATGTATCTGTCATTAGCCAGTTCCTTGAACCCAAATAATGATTTTGCAAGCATAAAAAAAACAGGAAAAAAGAAAGCCAGTACAAAGTTTATATAACATGTAATCACATATTTGCTGTCTTATATTCAGTAGACTCTTGGGATGTCTTTGTAGTATTCTAGTCTTGGTAGGAAAATAAAACTGTTCTGGTGAGGAAGATAAAGTGCTCTTAGTGTGGCCAGAAGAAAGGAATGCTAAGAAACAGACATAAAAATCAGCTCTAACATCTGTCTGTCTTCCAACCTTGTGTTTTAGAACATATTCTATTTCCAAGAACAAAATATAAACATTACAAAACACAAACATCACCAAACATTGACTCATTTTGAGGATAAACATAAAACTAAAGTCAGATAACAGACTCTTCCTAATCTATTGTCATGAATTATGCATAAAAAGAATTTAACAACAACTGATCAAAATTAGGAAGTAGTGATTCAAGATCTCATAGGAGAAATCCAAATCTTACTATAATGCTACCATGGCTTTGGTGTATTTCCTCTGAATACAGACCAGCATAACAATGCAAACTAAAAATGAAACTTCAGCTGAGCCTGGGAGTACCTGCCTGTAATCCCAGCAAAGGTTAGCAAATTGGCTAGCAGCCTGGGCTACAGAGTGGGTTCCAGGGCAGCCTGAACGGCACAGTGAGACCCTGTTTCAAAATACATTCATAATACATCATCCTTGTCCAAATACATCATCCTTGTCATGCCTCCCTTCTCCCTTGGAGTGCATAGAGGCACTGAGGCCACAGCAGAGCTCAGTATGAACAGAGGGGAGTAGCAGGCTGGGACAGTGAGGGGGGATAGTGACCAGGCTTCTAGTGACTTGCTCAAACCTGGAGGTCACCTTGCGCTCCCCCATCAGTTCCAGTCTAGCAGTAAGGACAGCCACTAACAAAGTGCAACTCTGACTAAACAGACTAGAACATCTCACAGAGAACAAGTGAGCCCAGTGTGAGAAATTAAATCTTTGGTCCTGGATTTGAGGGCCTTAAGAAACAATTCTCACTTATCAAGAGTCTGTCCTCTTGTTTGGGACTTTAATGTTCCCTTCTGGTCCTCCATCCTGGGAGGCAATGAATGATAAGAGGCAAGGAGAAGAGATGTATATGCCATGTGTGGCCCACACTATGTTCACTGCTCCTAATTACTATCTCAGCCACAGGAAGTGGATATATTACTAACAGTCCTACTTTATAGACACTAGGTCACAGGCTGTTGGACAACATTAAAGCCTTACCATAAGGACACAGTGCAAGCTCTTAGTGCTCTTCTCTAGACATAAGTGGGCACCCAGTAAATAAGCTGTGAATTGAGTGAATCAAAGCCATGGGAGTAGGGAGACCTTTCAAGTAGTCATCTCCATAACTGCAGGAGAAAGGTGTCCTCCTGGCGTGCATTTTAACTTTTTCATGGACACTGTGGCTAACCCTCCCCACCAACCCTAAAGCTCCCATCCACATTTCCTGTTTCCTTTCCAATGCTCCTAATGCACCTGAGAGCCTCCCCCACCAACTGGCATGCCATCTCTGCTGCCAGGGTTAGAGAATACAGGATAAACACAGCTCTGGGGAAACACAGGAGCGCCTACCAATTAAGTCCCATTTCCCGCCTATGTGAGTGACAAGGCAAGCCTTTGAAATATTCCCCTTTTAAACTCGGTCATGGTTTTATGAGACTGAAGGGAGACTGTGTTCAGCGTGTGTGAAAAAGTCACCTTTGTTCACAGACCCCTTAATGAGAAACTTTCATTTTACGGGGCTGCTGGGAGTTGTGCAAGCATTCCCTGTGCACCCCCCTGCCTTTCCCTATTAATACCGGAGGCTTACAGAAGACAAGCTGTTCAAAGTCCCGACCCAGTAGTGCAGGAGAAACCAGAGCCCATTACTGGTCTGGTGAAAAAGAACAAATAAGAAACAAGTATAGAGAGACCAGGCTTGCACAGCTACAAGTGCCCAGTGAGAGTGTGCAGAAGTGATGCGTGTCACCCAGCGCTCCTGTCTGCAGGGGCCAGGAGAAGAGAACTGCACTGCAGGACTGTTCAGATGTGCTCTTATGTGGGTATGAGCCTATAGGGCAAATGAAACCTGAAGAGGATACAGTGAACAGCACAGAAGAGTGGAGGACAGTGAATCAGGAAGAAGCACATTCACTGGCCCCAAGATGCCCAAGACGATTTGCAGCACGAGGGACTAAGCCCAGCCACTGTATTCAGCCATACCCCCCACCCCCATTTTGACACAAGATCTCACTAAGTTCTTAAATTGCCCAGATTGGGCTCAAACTTTTGATCCTCCTGTTTCATCCTCCCCGAGCACTGGATTATAGGTGCCAGCCCTCAAGAATAATTTTTATCAAAGGAGGCTGAGTTGAAGAACTGACAACTGAGAAAATTCTTGGCAACTAAGGAAATTACTTTTTAAAACTGAGAAGAATTAAGAATAAGGAGCCGCCTTGATGCCCTCAAAGACAAAGCAGATTACAGCGAATACCCTTCTCCTACTCAGAACCCTGCTTCTGGCAGGAGAAAAGACATAGGCCACATAGGTGGCTCAGACTGAGTGCAGTGTGGCAGCTGAGGAGCACAGCTGGAGGAGGGGCGGGACCTCTCAGCTCCCATGACCCCTTACCTCAGCTGTTCCTTGGTGCTTTTCAGCTTCACGAAGAAGCAAGAGACTGACTAGTAGGGCCAGTCCCAAACTGTTAAGGCCTCACTGCTGACCCTCCACACAGCAGTCCAAACACCATTCCTGCCACCTGGAGGACACCACAGTCCCCAGAAGGGCTTCCTTGCTCTGGGCTGCAGCCAACACCACAGTCACTGGCTCGGTGGTTCCTCCTGTGTGGCTTATTTGGTTACTGCCCTCATTTATTCTTGGTGATACCTGACAATTAAGA